TAGGATTGGAAAGGCAACATGTTGGGAAGAGGAAATGTCATACCGGTAACACGGTCAAGGCATTCTTTCTCCTGGAAAAGAAATGCGTTAATGTGTTGCCATCTAAGACCTGCGTTTGCCAAAAATTATGGCCTAGCTCACAAGTAAACTGCTCACAAGGCTGCATGATCTCGGGCTCTGCAAAGGTCCATGTGGAGTGGTACAAAAGCATAGCGGTAACTGCCAAATTATATGCCTATGTTATAATGATATGTAGGCTTTAGTGGGGTAGCTAATGTAGGGTATAGGTTTTTTGTTACTTGTACCCAACTCTCTCGATACTCATGCCAACCTTTCCCTTTACTCTCGACATGGTATTAAGAGCAACATAGGTCCTTAGGACCGTTTTAGGACTGTTTTTCAGGGCCCACCAACCGTTTTCCGCCGGTTACCGCGTTACCCCGCCCCCCTGCCTACACTGCCCTGAGTCGCGCAGCCCTCGCGCTCGCCTCTGCTGGCCCTCGTGCAACCCGCTAGCAGCCCGCCCGCTGCCTCGTCAGCCCCGCGCGTAGCTAGCTAGCTACCTCGTCAGGCCCGCGCGCCGCCCCGCAACCCTCGCGCTGCCTTCTACTGCCCCGCGCGCCGCTCCGCAGCCCTCGCGCTGCCTTCTACTGCCCCGCACGCCGCCTCTCGGCCCTCGCGCTGCCTGTACTGACCCGCGAGCGCGCAGCCAGCCCGCTGCCTCGTCAGCCCCGCGCGCTGCCCTCCGACGGCCTTAGCAACCCTCGTACTGCCCTCCCACTGCCTTAGCAGCCCTCGTACTGCCTTAGCAGCCCTCGTACTGCCTTAGCAGCCCACGTACTACATTAGCAGCCCACGTACTGCCTTAGCAGCCTACGTACTGCCCTTCCACCGCCCTTGCTGCTCCTCCCCTGCCTCTGCAGCTTCGCGTACCGCCCCTACCGCCCTCCTGTAGCCCTTGCCGTCCGCGTGCTGCCTCTACTGTCGTGCTGCAGTGACCATGGCTTCTATTAGCGTACTGTCGTTCGACCCTGAAGGACGCCCAGTCGAGTTCGATGCCTGGCTAGAAGATCTTCTGCTGTATCTTATGACTGATGCCAAGGACGGCGTTTCGCTCTTTGACTTAGCCAAAGGTTCCTCAGTCGCTCTAGACACAGCTGACAGCGTCGCTCACTCACAGTGGCTTACCCGTGACGCTACTGCACGCATAGCCATTCGCAGCTACTTGCCTCTAGCGGAGCGCACCCACTTTGGCCAGCACAAAACCGCTAAAGCACTGTACGCTGCTGTCATCACTCGCTACTCTTCTCCTGCCACTGCTGCCCTCAGCCGCCTTATCCTACCCTACCTTTTTCCTGAGCTCTCCTCCTTTACCACAGCTGAGGACCTTATCACTCATCTCCGCGCTAGTGACGCTCGTTACCGCGCAGCCCTCCCGAGTGAGTTCTTAGACAAGAACTGTCAAGAACGAAAAGTGTTGGTTCATTGATGTGGGTTGGGGTACATATAACAAACCCTAACATCTGTACCCCCTAAGACAAACCTCACTACAGGCTACAACATTTGACACACCCCCATAGCCTAAGTGAGGGGTGTCAAACAAAACCAAAAGTGTACGGCCACAAGACCAGTCACAAAGAAACAAAGCTCAGGGTGGATCACAAAGTCACCACACACTCTGAGCACAAGCAACAGGGGCCACAAGGCCAGTTCGAGAGTTCACAAGTGTGTATAGCAAGGGTACAAGCAAAGCAAACAGTAGACTCAAGCCTATACACGACTAGAAACGGTGTCAACAAGGCCTAACTGCACACAACACCTCTGGTGGTCACAAGGCGGAAGCGCCTTGGTGAAGATGTCTGCAGTGTTGGCCTCGGACTCCACAAACTCGAAGCGAGCCTGTCCACGTCTCTGCAACTCTCGCAGAAGAAAGTACCTGACGTTAATGTCCTTCACCCTGCTCTCTAGTCGCGGCTCTCGACAAAGGAGAATCGACGCCTTGTTGTCAGTGAACAAGGTCGGTACAGAGCTCGGCCGCTCACCAAGGTCGGCGAGAAAGAAGGTCAACCAACGCAGCTCCTGTGCCGCCATGGCACCAGCGTAGATCTCAGCCTTAGCTGTGGAGGTCGAGACCGAATAGGAGCGCGTGGATCGCCACGAAACAGCTCCAGAACCCAAGCTGAAACAGTACCCCTGAGTAGACCTATGAGTCTCAGCGTCGTCTGCGTAAGAAGAGTCACAGTGACCAGTAAGTACGAGAGGCTGCTGCCCTCCAAGAACTAACCCCACGCCTGATGTCGTCGCTATGTACTTCGCCACCCTCACAGCTGCCGTCCAGTGAACAGGACGGTGTCTCCCTGGCGCAACAAAGCGAGGAAGGATGCTGAGAGGGAAGGCGAGGTCCGGGCGAGTGCAAGTCATCACATACATGAGGCAGCCCACCAGCTCTGCGTAGGGACCACTAGACTCAAACGACTCATCAGGAAAGGGTCCAGTAAGTCTGTGGTCAACAGCAAGAGGTGTGCGCTGTACTGTGGAGTGCTGAAGCTCGAACCACTGAAGGACCTGCTGCACCATGTGTGACTGTGAGAGTGTAATGGTGCGAGCAGCTCTGTCCCTGGTGATCTGCATGCCAAGGTAGTGGCGCAGCTCACCAAGGTCAGTGCACGTGTGTCTCTTCTACAGTTCAGACTTCATGTCTGCCAAGGCAACCCTGTCAGCAGTGGCGAAAACCAAGTCGTCGACGTAGACCAGAACAAAGAACGGTGTGGAGCCACGACGAACGAACAGCGATGGGTCGGCAGAAGACGGCTGGAACCCAAGGTCAGAGAGGGTAGAACGAAGAGTGTCGTGCCACTGACGAGGAGCGTGACGAAGACCGTAGACAGGTCGCCTCAGCCTCCACTGGGTCCCAGGAGGGAAAGTGCCAGTGAAGGCAGAGGGACGACGCAGCCAGACCTCCTCGTGTAAGCTACCTTGAAGGAAAGCAGTGGAGAAGTCGAGAGAGTGTAATTCGTAGTCTCTCTGTGCTGCTACGTGCAGTAACACCCGAAGAGTGGTCATCTTCGGGGTAGGCGCGAAGGTCTGAAAGAAGTCAACTCCCTCGCGCTGACTGAAACCTCTAGCCACGTAGCGCGCCTTGAAGACCGGAGGAGATCCCGGTGGCCGCTTCACCCTGTAGATCCACATGCCATCGACTACGTTCGCCCCAGGGGGGGGAACCTCGTCGACGTAGGTGCCTGTGGATCTGTAGGAGGCCATCTCTGCATCCATGGCAGCTCTCCACTGAGAGGCCCAAGGCCCTGACACTGCCTCAGCGTAAGTGCGAGGAGTCAGTATGTCAAGGGCGTCGGGGTCTCCCTCAGGGGCGAGCAGCATGGCACAGAGATGTGGGGAAGCGGCTGCCAGGAACTCTAGCTCAAACTGCCTGTCCTCTAGGACGTCACAGCCAAGGGCAGACTCACCCCCGACGGCCAGAGGACTGGTAGGAGGAGCAGCCACAAGACCGGTGGCGTAGTCAAGGCGGTGAGTGGAGGCAAACTCAGTGACTGCGGCAGTAAGGGCAGAGACAGAGGAGACAGAGGCGCGAGGGTCGGTAACAAGAGAGGCGAGAACATGAGAGAGAACAGGACGGTACGTGCGGTAGTAGTCAGTGAGAGGAGTAGAGAGAGAAGCAGTGAAGGCCGACTCAGGAGGAGACGGAAGGAGAGACGGAGACGAACAAGGCGGACTAGAACGAAAGAGGGTAGTACGAAGGTCAGTAACGAGAACAGGAGACGAGGGACGAGCACGAGGGGAGCGACGAGAGGCCCAAGTCTGAGGAGGAGGAGGGGACAACAGAGGCTGAGAACGAGGGAAAACAGCCGGGGAGGGGTCAGGAGGAGGAAGCGGAGGACCCGAGACGGGAGGAGAGGGGGAGGAGGAAGGAGAGCGAGAGGGGAGACCGAGGGCCCGAAGACCAGAGACAGGAGGAGGAGGCGGCGGCTGCTGCTGCTGCTGCTGCTGCTGCTGCTGCGGCGGCGGCTGCTGCACCTCCTGCTGCTGCGGCGGCTCCAGCGGCTGCGCCTCCTGCTGCTGCGGCGGCTCCAGCTGCGGCTGCTGCAGCTGCTCCTGCTGCTGCTACTGCTCCTCCAGCCGCTGCAACTCTCTCTCCTCTCTCTCCAACTCCAGCTGCTCCTCACGGGCACGGCGAACACGAGCCTGATGCCGGGTCGGGTAGGGGTGGGGGGGAGGAGTAGTGTCGGGGGCTGCGGCAGCCCCGGGACCGCCCTCCAAAGCACCTGGCGCACCACCCCCAGAGTCAGCACCACCAACAGCAACACGACCAGGCTCACCAGGACCCGAAGAGGGTGCACCCGCACCCCCAGACAGAGCACCCCCAAAGTCAGCAGGACCAACACCAGCTCCCGGAAGACAAGAGTCTCCTGCAACCACGGGCTCAGCTCCAACTCCAGCACCCCCAGAGCTAGCACCTGTAGGGCCCTCTCCACGAGCACCGGCTCCTGCAGGGACTGCCGCGGGCTGCAAGGAGGACTGCGGGGAAGGAGGCTGCACCTGAGGGGCTACCGAGGGGGGAGGGGTAGCCTGGGACACACCTGACGGGGCGGGACCAGGGGGGGGAGGCTGCACCGGGGGAGCAGGAGGGGGAGCGGAAGTCAGGAAGAGAGGGGGAGGAGGAACCGGGAGACCTCGACTGGGGTACCTGACGTAGTAGGGGGTGGACTCCTCGAAACGGACGTCACGGGAGTCAAAGAACCGGTGAGAGGGAGGGTGGTAAAAGGTGAAGTCAGAGGAGTCCTCAGGGAAACCAAGGAAGACACAGGCGAGAGCTTGTCCGCGGAAGTGTCGCGGACAAGAGCCAAGTAACCCCAGATACGAAACCTCGACGCAACACCAGGGGACCCGGTCCAAAGACTGGTCGGTGAAGCCTCTGGCCGAGAGACGCGTGGCCAGAGGTTCAGCTGGTGAGCGGCGTACCTAACCGCGTAGGGCCACAGAAAATGGGGGGCACGGGTGTGAGTCAAGGAGGTGCGGGTGATCTCCATGACCAAGCCTATGCGGTGCTCAGCAACCCTATTCTGCTGTGGGGACTGTGGAAGTGTCCAGGACTGACGAATGCCCTGCTCGCGACAGAATCCAGCGAGAATGCCGGAGCGAAACTCACCCCCACGGTCAGAGTGAAGACAGCTGACACGACGACCACGAGTGCCCTCAGTGGTAAGCAACTACCTGATCAGCGTAGAAGTCACCTCAGACTTCTTCGCCAGGGGGAACACTGTGGTGTAGCCGGAGTAGTCGTCAATGACCACCAAAAAGAAACGCTCGCGCTCAGGGCCAAGGCGAGGAGCGGGGCCCCAGACGTCCAAGTGGAGCGTCTCAAAAGGCTCGGTGGCCGGACGAAGGGAGGAGGAGTGAGGGGTGGCGCGCAGCCGACCCTCGACGCAGGGACCGCACGGCGGTGCAAGCGAAGGCGGCAGCGACGGCAAGACACGCGGAAGGCCTAAGACAAGACGCTGACGAGACATAGCGCGCAGACGAGGGAGGGACGGGTGCCCCGTCCGGTGGTGCCACAGAACGGTGGGGTGTGCAAGCGACCGGCAGGAGCACGACGCAGCAACTGGACCAGACACGGGAACCTGACCAGACACAGCTACCTGGGAGGACGCAGCAACCTGGTGAGACGCAGGGACCAGACTGGGGGAAGTAACCGGGACCGGGGGCAGGAGTCGCTGCTGCTGCTGCCGCTGCTGCTGCTGCTGCTGCTGCTGCTGCTGCCGCTGCTGCTGCTGCTGCTGCTGCTGCTGCTGCTGCTGCTGCTGCTGCTGCTGCTGCTGCTGCTGCTGCTGCTGCTGCTGCTGTTGCCGCTGCTGCTGCCGCTGCTGCTGCTGCCGCTGCTGCCGCTGCTGCTGCCCACCAGGGCCAGTGTGAAGTGTGTAGAGACCAGAGCCCGGCTCGGCAGTAAAGGTGGCAAGAGGCGAGTAAGTGTCTCCGTCAACACAAACCGCCGTCTCACTAGAGGGCTCAATCCACACACCCACGTGCTGACTCACAAGAGGCCTCACGCCCACCAAGTTCCTCGAGAACGAGGGGACGTGAAAGCCAGTCAGAGACCCAGAGGGAACAGCAGGGCAAGGAAGAGTAGTAGTGTAGCGAGCAGTGACTGGTCCCGAGGTGGGATCAGCCAGGGCCACAGAGACTGGCGCAGGAAGTGGAGTAAGTGTCGTGTGGTCGCGAAAGAAGCAGTGCGAAGCCCCAGAGTCCAGAGTGAAAGACAGCGAAGCGTCCTCCGAAGTAGCGCCTGGACTAGTGTCTACACAAGTGCCTACACTAGCAACAGGCAACTCAGTAAGACTAGCACCTAAGCTAACAACTCTCGAGTAAACAGAGTCAGAAGCACTAGAGTCAACAACAGCATACATAGCATGAGGAGTTCCTAAGAGATCAAGCAACTGAGAAGCAGACATGCCCCAAAGAGCGGAGCCGTACGTCTGAACTAGAGGTAACCAGTCAGGGGCAGGGCCGCCAACGCCGAAGGACAAGCGAACCGTGTCAGTGAGCTGAGCAAAGCACTGACCACGAGGGTGGGTGCGGCCACAAGGCTGGCCTTGGCGAGCACCTGTCAGAACCTGATAGGTGCACGAAGGGTGAACAACACCTTGCTGAGGCTGACGCTGTCCTGGCCCCGAAACCTGCTGCTGCCGCTGCTGCTGCTGGGGCTGCTGCAAGGGGAGGGGCTGCTGCTGCTGCTGCTGCTGCTGCTGCTGCTGCTGCTGCTGCTGCTGCTGCTGCTGCTGCTGCTGCTGCTGCTGCTGCCGCTGGGCCAGGTACCACGCCGCTGCCCCACCTGCCGCGGCCGGCAGACCAGAAGGTGGCTGACGAGCCCGGGCGTCGCCTCCACCGGCTGCAGTAGCGGAGTCACCGGCCGCAGCACGCGACGCCTCTCCTGGTCCTGCACTCCCGCCGCCACCAGTCGGCACGCCACCCCCACCACCTCCGCCGCCAACGCCTCCACCACCGCCGCCACCTGTACCCTGACCGCCCCTCTTGCCACCTCTACCTCGAGACCGCGAAGAAGTCGTAACAGCAGCTGCGGTCACGTCAGTAGCAACAGTGGCGAGAGAGGCTGTAAAGGTGGGCAGCTGAGGGACAGTGCACCCGTGGAACAGTGGAGGGGGCACAGCACCAGAGGCGGAGGCTACGGAGTGGAGGTTGCTCTCGACGTCCTTGAGCGCAGACTCAAGGACCTCGATAGTGAGCTCACTAGGGTGCTTCAGAAGAAGCGTGTCACGGACTGAGGCAAGGCGGTCAGGGAGGCTAGTGGTGATGAAATAGATAGTAATCGCCATAGGGGGAGGGAGCAGTGCAAGCTGTGCGTCAGTGCAAGCAGCGCGGTAGCTAGAATCAAGCGAGCGGAGGTGAGCAATCAAGTCAGCAGAGCGCTCAAACGAGGCGAGGTCAGGGAACAGGAACGGTAGGAAGAGTCGGCCAAGAGAGACAGTGATGGGAGTAGCGTAGCGGGCCTTAATCGCAGTCAGGAACTCACTAGCAGTGCGAACCTGAGTGAAGTGGGCCTCCTCAGACTCAGGGAGGAGGCTGCTAAGAGCGATACAGGCCGCAGCGTCACGCGACTTCCACGCCGTCAGGTCAGCTCGCTGGCGGGTGAAGCGGTCCCTAGCTGCGTCGTCAGGGGCAGTGCCTAAAGGCGTAGGGTCGTCGGGCGCTGGAAGGTCACCAGTAGCGTGCGCCCAAAGGGACTCGCCCGCCTGAACCTGACTCTCTAAGAGGCGACGCGCGCGTAGGAGCCAGACCGGGAACTCGAGCGGTCTACCGTCAGCGTCGAAGCGAAGAACCCTAGGAGTCGCCATAGTGTGAGTAGAAGCGACAAGTCGAGCGGTGGGTGGCACCGGTAGGGACGGTAGGCGGCTAGGGCAAGTCCGTGACGGGCGCAAAACGCGGGCGCAACGGGGCTAGGGACGGTCCCGCGGCGGACTGAACGTGGAGGCGCAGCGGTGCGAAAGAGGGGCCTAACGAGCTGGCCCGTAGCGGACCTAACGAGGAGGCGCGACGGCTGGCTGAACGGGCAGGTGCGGCGGCTGTAAGGGAGGACCTACGGCGGCTGTAAGGGAGGGCCCGTGGCGGGCCTTAACAGTAGGCGCGGCGGCTGTAAGGGAGGGCCCGCGGCGGCTGAAAGGGAGGGCCTGCGGCGGGCCTAACTAGCAGGCGCGGCGGCTGTAAGGGAGGGCCTGCGGCGGGCCTAACTAGTAGGCGCGGCGACGGGCGGTACGGGCAGGCGCAGCGACGAAACTAGGGCGCCGCGACGACGAAAAACGGGGCGCCGCGGCGACGAAATGGGGGGCGCCGCGGCGACGAAACGCGGGGCGCCGCGGCGACGAAACGCGGGGCGCCGCGGCGACGAAACGCGGGGCCCCGCGGCGACGAAATGCGGGCGCCACGGTGACGAAACGTGGGGCGCCGCGGCGACGAAACGCGGGCGCCGCGGCGACGAAACGCGGGCGTTTAGGGCAGCGGGGGGAGGACGCAACGCGAGCGGGGGAGGGCGTGACGGGACGAGAAGCCGGGGAGAGCGCGACGTGACGGGCAGGAGGGGGGAAGGCGCTACGCTACGCGGAAAGCGGGTCGGCGGAGCGAGCGCTAACGAACGAGCGAGACTGGATTGGGCCGGCGCTAACGAACGAGCGAGACTGGATCGGGTCAGCGCTAACAAACGAGCGAGACTTGGTCGGGCAAGACGGGTACGACTAGTACGAGAGAGCGAGACAGGCTCGGGCGGAACGAACGAGGACGAGAGGTGCGGGATCCCACAGGATCCTAACCTAGGTGATACCATGTCAAGAACGAAAAGTGTTGGTTCATTGATGTGGGTTGGGGTACATATAACAAACCCTAACATCTGTACCCCCTAAGACAAACCTCACTACAGGCTACAACATTTGACAAGAACCCCCCCCCGATGTACATCACGCTCTACTTCATTGTCACCCGACTCCTTGACACTCTTCGTGTCGTCAGGGACCACTTTCTAGCCCTTCCCCCCACCGACCTCACAGTCGACGACCTAGAGAAGCACCTGCTTGCAGCTGAGTCCAACATCGTAGCTGTCGGTGCTGCTCGTGGCACTCCACGTACTCCCCTCTTTGAGGGGTGTGTCCCCTCCCCCCTTGTCCCCTCCCACGCCTCTGCTGCTACTGTTGACCTCCTTGGTGCTGAGGAGGTCGGTGCCGCTTCTACTTCTGCTGGGAAGCGCCGCAGCGGCAAGGGCAAGGGAGGCAAGGGTGGCGGCACTGGCAGCGGGGGAGGTGGTGGTGGAGGAGGCGGCGGTGGGGGTGGTGGTGGTGGGGGTGGTGGCGGGGGTGGAGGGGTCGGTGGCAGTAGTGGCAGCAGCGGTGCGCGTGGTGGTGGTGGAGGAGGCGGGGGTGGGAGCGGTAGCAGTGGCGATAGCAGCGCCGGTGGTGATGGCGGTGGGAGCGGTGGTACAAGCGGTGTTGGCGGCCGTGGTGGAGCTGGTCAGCGGGGAGGTGCTGGAGGTGGCCAGCGCCAGCAGCAGCAGCAGCGTCAGCCCGAGCCCCGCACGCCCCAGCAGCTTCGTGAGTGGTACGGTCAGCGTGGGGCGTCTGGGGGTAGTGGTCGCTGCCCTTACCGCATTCGCACTGGTGAACGCGCTGGTCAGACGTGCAACAAGTTTCACACCGAGTAACGCTGCTTCTCTAGGCTGGACGATGCCTGGCGTGCCCAGTTTCCTGATGCTATTGAGCTTCCCTACTGGGCAGACCTGCTTAGGCGTGACGTTCCTATCTTTGATCTTGACTATGATGCAATTATTGCTGCCATGTATGCATTGACTGTTAGTGCAGAGGGTGACTGCTACTTGTGTATGCCGCCTGATCCATGTATAGAGACTGCAGCCCTAGGTGCTCGTGAGTCTGCTCTCCCTGGTACTGCGTCCGCTCAGGCCTTGCACACCTTTACACTTGACTCTGGTGCTTCCCGCTGTTTCTTTCGCGACAGTACCACAGTCACTCCCCTCCCTGCACCTGTCCCTGTCTCACTGGCTGACCCCTCTGGGGGCCTAGTGCTAGCACGGTCCACTACTGTGCTTCCGTGTCCGGCGGTCCCGTCTCGTGAGCTGTCTGGTCTCCACCTCCCCTCGTTCTCTACGAACTTGGTGAGCAACGCCGTCCTTCAGGATCATTGGGTTGATACCTTTACTCCTGGAGGACAGCGTGTGGCGATCTGCACGTGCTCTCGGACTGGCCGCCACCTGGCCACGTTCACACGTGCGCCTGGGTCCAGTCTGTACACCCTCACCACTGTGTCGCGCTACACCCCTATGTCTCCTCAGCTGTACGCGTCCGCTCAGGTAGCTACCCAGTGTGAGTGTCGTCGCCTGTCGCACCAGACTCTCCTTTGGCACCACCGCCTTGGTCACCCCTCCCTGCCCCGCCTTCGTGGCATGCACTCTCGCTACCTGGTCTCTGGTCTTCCCAGGTCTCTGCCCTCCCTCCCTCCCTCGCCTGCGCTGCCCTGCATTCCTTGCGTCGAGGGGCGGCAGCGCGCCGCTCCTCACTCCTCCTCGTTTCCAACCACAGAGGCTCCCCTGCAGACTCTCCACCTGGACGTGTGGGGCCCAGCCCACGTCCAGGGGCAGGGCCACGAGCGGTACTTCCTGCTGGTAGTCGACGACTACACGCGTTACACCACGGTCTTCCCCTTGCAGCACAAGGGGGACGTCCCTGCTGTTTTGATCCCCTGGATCCGCGCTGTTCGTCTCCAGCTCCGCGAGCGGCTCCACTCGGACTCTCCTGTCCTGCGTCTGCACTCCGACAGAGGTGGTGAGTTCACCTCCAACCTCTTGCGAGCCTACTGTGAGGAGCACGGCATCCGCCAGACGTTCACGCTTCCGGCCTCTCCGCGGCAGAATGGGGTTGCTGAGCGCCGCACTGGCTTAGTCATGGAGGTCGCTCGTACCTCCATGATCCATGCGGCTGCCCCCCATTTTCTGTGGCCGTTTGCGGTCCGGTACGCCGCGCATCAGCTCAACCTCTGGCCCCGTGTCTCCTTGCCGGAGACTTCGCCCACACTACGCTGGACGGGGGAGGTTGGCGATGCATCACGATTCCGGGTCTGGGGTGCTCGTGCCTTTGTCCGCGATACCACTGCGGACAAGCTCTCCCCTCGCGCCATTCCCTGCGTCTTCCTTGACTTTGTCCCTGACGCGCCTGGCTGGCAGTTTTACGACCCCGCCTCGCGCCGTGTCTTTGCGTCTCAGGACGTCACATTTGACGAGTCGGTTCCCTTTTACCGTCTCTTTCCCTACCGCACCGCCCCTCTCCCCCCCCCCCCCCCCCCCCCCCCGCCGCTCTTTCTCGCTCCAGGTCCTCCCCAGGTAGACCACCTCCCCGCTCCAGGTCCTGCTCCTTCAGGTGTGTCTCAGGTAGACCTTGCTCCCCTGACTGAGCCGGTTGAGGTCACTGATGACTCAGGTCCTACTGGGGGTGGTCCTGCTCGGGGTGCTACTTCTAGGGGTGTTGAGCCTGGGGGTGCGGAGCCTGGGGTTGCTGAGCCTGAGGGTGCGGAGCCTGGAGGTGCTGAGCCTGAGCGTGAGGAGCTTCGGGGTGCTGAGCGTGAGGGTGCGGAGCCTGGAGGTGCTGAGCCTGGGCGTGAGGAGTCTGGGGGTGCTGAGCCTGGGGGTACTGAGTCTGGGGGTGCTGCGCCTGGGGGCACTGAGGCGCCTGGTGAGCAGTCTCCTTGGAGTGGCCGCCTCCGTAGTCGCTCCGCTGGTGCCTCGCCACAGCACTCCCGTCAGCGTGTGCCTCTCTCCCCACAACAGCTGCGTGAGTGGTACGTTAGCCGTCAGGGTCGCGCTACTGGAGCTGGTGATTTTGCTACTGG